AGAAGACTTCTTTATTTCATTCCTTACAATTCTTAGAAATTAGCTCTACCTTCTCTCTAGAAAAGAAGTGTAGCTTATTCTCCAAGCCAAGTTGAGAACCTTGTCAAGATTTCAAGTTTTGCTTCCAAGATTCAACCTTTCACCTATTTGGGCATCTAGGAGGGTAAGATCTAAGTTTGTCTTGTGTTTTTGGTTCCATCTTAGTTGTCTTTTTCTTAAAGGTAGGATCTTTATGATCTTTTGGTTTGATCTTGAAGTGGGTTTGGATAGTAAGCCTTGTGGGGAGCTTGTTGTGGTGTAAAGTGAAGTCTTTTGGTCTACAAGAGGTAACCCATGCTCTACAAAACCTATTTTGCTTACCTATATGTGATTTCTTGGATTCTACATGTGTTTTGCTATGAAATGTGAGGGTTTATGCATTTGTCTTGTGATATTGCATATCTAGAGCTTGTGTTTAGGGTTCCTTTTGTGCCATTGCTTGGCATTTTCCATGGTTCAAGTCATTTTGTTGTATTGGGTGAGATTTGGCATGTTTTGGACTTGAATTTGTGTTTGGAGAAGAAAATCCCCGAAGGGATTATTTTGCACAGGAACGTGTACCCGCGGGCGGAACGGCGGGGAGAGCCCTACCCGCCGCCCACCCGCAGGTGTGAGTTATAATATGTTTATTATTATTATTCTTATTGTTATTAGACTAGTCTTTATGTTCTGTGGTTAGGAATTAGTCTCCAACTAATAACCTGATGTATAGGTATAGTTAGGAGTTCTAATTCTCGTATGTCTGTTTAACAGTTTGGTAGAATCGACAATAACATTCTCATTTGGTATCAGACTGGGTTCTCTCTCCCACTCCCAGATATGTCGACAAATTCAAGTGAAAGAACCGTAACTGCCGCGATCCCCACTGGAACGCCGGCGACTCCGACATCTCTAACATCAGCGCATCACTTTGTATCGCTGAAATTAACGACGCGGAACTTCCTCTTCTGGAGATCGCAACTGATTCCTTTTCTCCGTGGCCAAGGATTGCTTGGCTACGTCGACGGAGAGCTTCCATGTCCGCCGGCAGTGCTGCCCACCGAAACCACCGGCGATGAGGCGTCCGGCGCAACCGCTGCTACCACCACCCCGAACCCGGCCTACTCGTTCTGGGTGCAGCAAGATCAGGCGATATTATCTCTTCTCATATCGTCTCTTTCCGACGAGGTTATGTACCTCGCGGTCGGCCGCAATACATCCCGGGAGGTGTGGCTTTCCGTTACGGCAGCGTTAGGGTCATCCACAAGAGCCCGCTGCCTGAACCTTCTCGCCCAATTCCAGAGCTTGCGCCAAGGTGATAGCTCTCCAGCCGAATATCTTGGGCGGGCTCAATTAATAGTCGAGGATCTTGCCTTAGCCGGACGTCCGATGTCGTTAGATGAACAAAACCTCTATGTTTTCAGAGGTCTCCGGCCAGAGTTCCGTGCGATGGCTGCGTCGTTAGCGGTAACAGGTACTCCAGTAACAATCCCTCAACTCTCAGATTTTCTTCATGCTCAGCAGTTCATATTTGCCGAGGAGTTTCCGGCGAATGATGGTGCTGGCGGTGGTTCTCCGATGGCCATGGCGGCTGGCAGAGGTCGTCGGCAGAACCATGAGGGTGGCTCTGGAAACCGACAGCAGAATGGCAATGGCCAAGGGCGAGGCCGCAATGGTGGCCGTGGACGTGGCCAGAACGGCGGTCGCGGCGGGTATGTTCCACGTTGTCAGATTTGCAAGGCTAATGGACATACTGCTGTTGTTTGTTTCAAACGCTATGCTGGACAGCCGCAGCAAGCGAACCTGGTTGTTGCAGGCGATGACAACACCACTATCGGCAGTGATGCATGGTTCCCGGACACCGGGGCTTCCTCCCACGCAACACCTGATCCCGGCATGATGGCGCAATCCGAAGCCTACAATGGGAGCGACGTCTTACGCGTTGGCAACGGCACAGGTTTGGGTATTGAACGTGTTGGTCATGCATCGTTGCCATCTGAGTCTAGAATTCTTAAAGTGTCAAATATATTACATGTTCCCCAATTATCTATCCCATTACTGTCTGTTAATCGCTTTGCACACGACAATAACGTGTTTTTTGAATTTCACGCTGATTATTTTGTTGTGAAGGACTCAACTACCAAAATTCCACTTCTTAAGGGTCCTAGTTCGGGCGGTCTCTACAAGCTACAAGTTCCTCGGGCACATTTTGCATTCATAAGTGCCCGTGCGTCATCTATTGTCTGGCATCGCAGGTTGGGCCACCCGCACTCACGTGTCTTACAGCAGATTCTCAAAAAGTGTCCGGTCACATCCAATAACACGAGTCTTCCTGGGTTATGTTCCGCATGTCAGCGTGGCAAGTCGTCCCGGTTCCCATTAGATAGGGTGCATTCTAGTAGTAGTAATGTGCTAGATCTTTTGTATACTGATATTTGGGGCCCCGCGCCGGTTATTTCTGCAAATGGTTTCAGATACTTTGTATTATTTGTGGACGACCACAGTCGTTTTTGCTGGTTTTATCCCTTACGGGTAAAATTGGATATTTATAAAATATTTCAAGAGTTCCGGGTGATGGTTGAACGCCGTTTTTCGCGTTCTATAAAAACCATCCAGTCAGATCTAGGGGGTGAATATCGCCATCTCCATTCTATTTTCAAGTCCATTGGGATTGTGCATAGGCAGTCGTGTGCCTATACACACGAGCAAAATGGGCGAGTTGAGCGCCGGAATAGGCATATTGTCGAAACCGGGTTGGCTTTGCTCGCCGAAGGCTCTATTCCGCTTAAATACTGGGATTCAGCCTTTGAAACCGCTACCTATCTAATCAACTGCATGCCTTCATCCGTGTTAAAATTCGCAAGCCCATATGAGTGCCTATACAAAACACCTCCGCCATACACTTTCTTTAGAGTCTTTGGGTGCCGGTGCTTTCCCTATCTTAGGCCATATAATAGGCATAAGATAGAGTATCGGTCCGCACCCTGCGTGTTCCTAGGTTACCCACAATCCTTTAGGGGCTATCGATGCATGGACCTAAACACGGGCAAAACCTTTGTCTGTCGTCATGTCAGATTTGACGAAACTCTCTTTCCCTTTGCAACAGATTTGCCTGTACAGGTGGCTACACACACGGAGGCAACACCTACGCCATGGGGTTCTGGACCGCTAGTACCATCTATGGTACCCCCGGTACCACAACCCGACCCAGCACCTCCACCACCTTTGGCTCTACCTGGCCCGGCGGCCCGGCCCAGGGTACGACGGCGTGCTCGCAATGTGCCACAAGAGAGAGCACATGTCATGAGACTACGTTGCATGACGCGTGGCACGACTGAGGAATTTCAGGCTCTTACCATCACAGCAGACCCAACCTGCTACTCGCAGGCAGTAGGGCACCCTCAATGGCGTGACGCCATGGATCAGGAATTTAATGCTCTTTTGCATAACAACACCTGGTCCCTCACTCCAGCTAAACCCGGCATGAATATTATTGGGTGTAAGTGGGTCTACCGCACTAAGCGTAAGGCCGATGGGTCTATTGAGCGATACAAGGCGCGTCTAGTCGCCAAGGGGTTCAACCAGGTTGCTGGTGAGGACTTCTTTGACACCTACAGTCCCGTGGTCAAACCCACCACCGTCAGGATGTTACTCTCTCTTGCTGTGACAAAGGGGTGGACGCTACGACAGCTAGACGTCCACAATGCCTTTTTAAACGGGCACTTGGCTGAAACCGTTTATATGCGGCAACCGCCAGGGTACGAGGATCCGACACACCCAGATCATGTGTGTCACCTACAGCGGTCTCTATATGGTTTGAAACAGGCACCCCGTGCTTGGTTCAAACGCCTACATGATTATTTACTAACTGCAGGGTTCTTTGCATCCAAGACCGATGTTTCCCTCTTTCACTACTCAAGTGGGAACTCTCGTGTGTTCTTACTAGTCTACGTCGACGACATCATCATGATGGGCAATGATGCCGGCTTGCTCGCCACCCTGCTGCACCATCTTTCCACCGTCTTTAAGATTCGAGACCTGGGCACCCCGAGTTTCTTTCTGGGCATCGAGACCCTACACGTTGACGGAGGTTTGTTACTTTCTCAGCGGCGCTACATGGATGACGTCTTATCTCGGGCGGGCATGACTGATTGCAAGTCACTTGCCACCCCGGCGTCCTTAACTCAATCAGCAGCACCCTCGGATGAACCATTTGATAACCCCACGCAGTACCGACGTCTGGCTGGGGCCCTCCAGTACTTGACGATCACTCGCCCTGACCTTTCTTACGCAGTCAACAGGCTGTGCCAATTTATGCATACCCCCACTGTTGAACATTGGGGACTACTGAAGCGCGTTCTCCGCTACGTCAAGGGTACTATTTCCCTCGGGCTCCGTTTGTCACCGTCCGACTCTGTTGATGTCCATGCTTATTCAGATTCCGATTGGGCTGGCTGTCCGGTTGATCGGAAGTCAACCAGTGGGTATGCCGTGTTTCTGGGGTCGAACTTAATATCCTGGGTTTCTCGGAAGCAGAAGACTGTTGCCCGATCATCCACAGAAGCTGAGTATAAAGGGCTGGCGGATGTAGCAGCAGAGGTAACTTGGGTTGTGTCACTTCTCCGAGAGTTGGGTCTGCATTCTGGGGCACCTGCCACGTTGTGGTGTGACAATTTAGGCGCCACCTACCTATGCGCCAATCCGGTGTTTCACGCTCGCACGAAGCACGTGGAAATTGATTTCCACTTTGTTCGGGACAAAGTAGCTTCAGGTGAATTTCTGGTAAATTTTGTTTCAACGAAGGATCAACTGGCGGACATCTTCACGAAGCCTCTTCCTACATCGCGTTTTGCTGCTCTACGGTCCAAGCTCAATGTTGTTGCTATACCACCTTGATCTTGAGGGGGTGTGTGAGTTATAATATGTTTATTATTATTATTCTTATTGTTATTAGACTAGTCTTTATGTTCTGTGGTTAGGAATTAGTCTCCAACTAATAACCTGATGTATAGGTATAGTTAGGAGTTCTAATTCTCGTATGTCTGTGTAACAGTTTGGTAGAATCGACAATAACATTCTCATTGCAGGTACATAGACTGTGGGTAGTGTACCCGCGGGCAGAACCACAGGTAGGGGCCTACCCGTGGGTCCACCCGCGGGGAACACAGTGGAGTTGGAAAGGGATTTGTTCCCCGTGATCCGTTTGTCTCGGTATTTGGTCTTTTGACTTCCCGTTGTTCTTTTGTGGAATTATTTGAGCGTCTTCTTGATGTTTCGTATGTCTAGAACTATATGGTAGGTATCCATGTAGGACTTTGGTGTCTTGAATCGTGCTAAGTGTTCAACATTGTGTTTCGTTGGACCAAGAGGTGTCTTGTGTGTTCCTCGGAACTATCTTGAGTTTCTCCATTGTTAAGCATGCTAGTTTATTGTCTTAATGCTAGCGTGTGTGCGGTTTGTACCTTCCGTTTGGTTGATGATAACTTGTGTTATTCATCGTTGTTGTCGTTGGGTTGTGACCCGTTCCTTGATTGAGTTTGTTTCATACTTTCGTTGTGATCCGTTGATTGACTCGTGTGAGTTGTGGTGCGTGTGTGGCTTTACCTGGATTGCACGATTAGTGGTATGGGACGCTAGTCACCAAGGTATTGCAGCGGTCCTCGTGGTGACCTTGACGTGATTATGGAGATGTGTTCCTTCGAGTAAGGTTCACGTGATTGGGGGATAACATGTGTTATCCGGGCATGTCTTTCGCCGTGTACGGTACCTTGTGTACTATGAATTGGTGGTTTTGTTGGTGGATTGTTGGTGGGGGACGACGGTCCCAGGAGGGAAAAGGTTGGACTAAGAAGTACAGGGGTCCTGGAGGTAATGGTTGGCATGAAGGTACAAGGTCGGGGGTAGCCATAAGGTTGGAATAGGGCATAAGGAAGGCATATCAACTAGTGATGGGTGATGTCACGAGGGCTTGTGTAGCCGTTGTTGTGAGTTCACTTTCTTGTGACGTGTGTAGTCACAAGGGCATGTGTTGTCATGGGTGAGTCTTATTCCTTTGTGTTGTGATTAACCTTTGCGGTTTGGGATGTGTTCCCGTGTTATCTTTTGTGAGTGATGAGTCTTGTGTTGACTGTTGATCTTGGCTTTTGACTTATATACTTATGTATTCCGTTTCGAAAATGGTTTTATGACTTATATCTATCTATATATGATACTTAACGGTATTGGTGGGTTACCAGCATTATCGCTGACCGGGCATCGTCCCAATGTTTATCTTTGTATCTTTCAGGTGATGTTTAGACGAGCGCGATGTCTAGAGCCTGGTAGCTTAGCACCTTTATCCTTGTTTTTGTGGCCTGTGCGCCAATGTAGTTAGACTGATGTTTTGGGATAGATGTATACACTTGCAGATTGTTTACCGTAGCGTTTACCGTGTTTGGTAGACGCGGCGTGACACCCCGTTGGATTTCTTTTATCCAGTTCTCGTTTTATCTTCCGCTGTGCTAGTTTTGTTGTTTAATCTACATGTGTTAGGGCTTTTATTTGGGCCTTGTTTGGGGGGTGTTACAGATCCGTTCATCTTTGAGTACTACAAAAACATGGCTACAAAGGAGTCCAATTCTTGCGTACATTTTGCATGTGCACGCTATGCTGTTGCTCCCGTCTTGGACTATAACGGTGTATCGCTCCTCGTTTTCATCCTCTATCACATATGTTTGCACCCCTTCTGCCTTGGTGAATGCTCGCACTAGACATTTAAAACAGGATGCACTTATTTGCTTTTGGACCTCATAAAAAATAGTCAGTGTGTACACTGCTGCTGCTGCGCGCTCAATGCTTAGGGAGGTCTCAAAATCTGGGGTCTGTCCGTAGCAACCTGCGCTTAATTCTAAGTTGTTATTTCGTTGCTTTCGAACCGCACGCTCGAAACGGCCGAAAAATTCAACAAGGCATAAGTGCCTGTTCATGTTACTCTGAAAAATCCTATTCTCCGCCTCCGAACGGGAAGTGGTACGTAGTAGGCCATCCATGAACACATCATCGAAAAATGCGGGCACCCATGATGCACGCTCGTCGTACATACGGTTTAGCCATCGGTTTTCCTGTAGTCCATATTTTTCAATTACTGTTTTCCACCCAATCTCGAATTCTGCCCTTGTTGATTTCTCGTTCCACACAACAATGTTTAATGCCCCCCGAAATTCGTTGTTCTTTGACATCTCAGTTCCAACTTTCTCACTTACTTTGGTCATTATGTGCCACATACAGTATCGGTGCCGGCTACCTGCAAACACATCTGCTATTGCAATCTTCATAGCTGGGTCTTGATCGGTAATTATTAGGGGTGGTGCAGTCCCCATTGCGTTCTTGAAGTGCTTCAATATCCAGCTGTACGACTCCACGTCCTCCTTATCAAGCAGCCCTGCTGCAAATGTCACACATCTTTTGTGGTTGTCTTGTAACACCCCCATTTTCAATACTAAATTTTCCTTACAATTATACTTTCTTAATTGAAAAATTCACTAATTACATAGCGGAAGCATTAACTAACCAAAAGAAATGGGTGTTACCGCCACGCTCAGGTATCTCTCTTATACCCAAACGCTAAGGCTAATAATACAACTTCAATAAACAACTCAAAATATGTATTAGTTCAAAAACAACTGACAATTCAAATGTCTAACTAATACATGATATATCTAGGTGGTTCGCTCATTCTCATGCCCAATGCTCATGCAAGAGTTCCTGCAAAAACAATTAAAGAACAAAAAACAAAGAAACACACAAATTAGCATTAAGCTTGTAAGATCTACTTCACCCCGTAAAACATTTTGCACATAGTACATAGGTGCAGATAATTGACATAAAGCATAGACCCTTTAAACATTTAATCTTTTATCATCAATAGAGCATAATCATATAGAGCATAACTCAAATATGAAATACTCAGAATTTCCAACAACCATAATTTCCCAACAATACTCATAATTTTTAATACCAAATCAGTAGTTCTCACAATGGATATTTTAGGAACCTTTCAAAAGTAATATATTTATTCCAACATGGAGGAACACCAATTCCAACATAATGGGCAGGGTCTTGTTTCATCAAGCCCTAGTGAACAGTAATCACTCTACTGGACACTACACAAAATCCCATTCAATCTCAAATAATGGGCAGGGTCTTAATTATTTAAGCCCTAGTGAACAGTAATTGTCTTTACTGAACACTACTCAAAAATCCCATTTAAACCAACCAAATAATGGGCAGGGTCTTATTCAATAAGCCCTAGTGAACAGTAATAAATCTACTGAACACTACGCAAAAATCCCATTAAAGTGGAACAGAACTAATACCTTAAGTGTGCACACCCCCAATGGGTTTCCAAGCCCAATAGGTAGTAACTAGTCCTAGTAGCCAGGATACGTTTCTACTGACTACTACTCAACAGGGTAAATACCCTAGTGGTAGACTCCGCTAACCACTTCTCAAAATACAACAGGACTAAAAGTCCTAGTGAGACAGGATATGTTTTCACTGCTCACTACTCAAAACAACAGAGAGTTTTTAAGCTCCCTAGTGAGTCGGTATATTCAACCGCTCACTCCACAACAAACTGGGTCATAACCCAAGTATCCAGAATTTCACAACAGGATACTACACAAATCTTAAGAATCAATTTCCTTTATCCGCAATCTTTATAAAAGTGACAACATTACTGATATTTCTCAAGCAAACAAATTCTCAACACCTCAAATAAGGAATTGACAGAAATTTTCAGAAGACATGACCTGAATTGCAAAATTTATAGAAATATATTGGTAACACATTTTCAGGTGAAATTTTCCAGATACAAGGTACAGTGAGTCTAGATTATACACAAAAAGTTTCAAATCAATCCAAGGTCTAAAAGTATTTTTCCCGAATTATTTCCCAACACACTGCTGGAAATTCCCAAATTTCCGATCACTTTTCCGACCACTTATAAAGTTGGTCGAAAAAGGTGACATTTTTCAATTTTTCCGTCGAGGAGTTGGGTTGGACAGAAAATGGTCGGAAATACCAACTACCTAGTAGGAGTGGTCGAAAAATTTTCGGCCATTTAAAATTTATTACATTTGGTCTCTCTTTTTTTTTTTTTTTTTTTTTCGACTACCAAAAGTAGTCGAAATAGTAACTATATATATATAATATAAAGTTAGGGATTTAGACTTCAACAGTTCAACCCCTCATTTGCGCAGCTTGCCTTTCCACCTCTCCTAACCTAAAACTCGACGACTCCATGACTCCACCAGCCATCATCTCTGGTGACTGCCACAGTGGACAACTACTTGGTCTCCGGCTCGATCTCCGTCTCTCCGCCTCGATCTCCGTCTCTCCGACTCTCCGCAGCTAACAGCTGCCTCTCCGCTTCTCACCCTCTGACCCTCTCGGCCTCTTCGTCACTTCGCCTCTCCGGTAAGTCCTTGTAACCTCGATCATCTACACATGCTCATAGTCTCAAGTTCAACCACACATTCTTTAACCTCTCTAGCTCTCCACATAGGAAACCCTAGATCTGCCTTCCAGACTTTGTGTTGGTCTGGTGACCGTCTTTTGCCATGAAAATGTAACAGGTAATTTACTGCCATTTTAGTTATTTATGATTTATGATATATTGTTCTTAAAATTCTTGAATTTTATGGATTTATGATCTTAATAATATATGTGAATATACTGTCATATTGTTGGATATTTTTGAAGTTTATGAATAATGAATTTGAGAACCTAAGTGAAATTTGAAAGGAATGCTAAGAATGTAATTAGTTTTCTTTTTCATTCTAAATTATGTAATTTATTTTCAATAAGACTAAAATTTAACTCCAATTATTCCCCCTGCTTCAGTCTGGTGATCTAGTCAGTCCATATTATTGTATATTAGTGTTCCTATGAAAAAAAATTATTGTATATTGGTGTATTGGGAGATATATGTTGTTTGTGTGTAGGGGTCCCTTTTGTCCCCCCTTAAAAAGGGAATAGAGTTGTATTAGTACTTATAGTGTTTCATTTTCTAAATAATAAGCTTCAGGATCTTGCTCGACAGCATTCAATTGTGCTCAAGAGCTTGTCGCCTGATGTCAGAAAGCGTGTTGAGTTCCTCAAGGAGATTCAGGTATGTGAATCTTGTACTAGTGTCTCATATTTTTTAAATGCTTGTTTGTTCTACGAAACTCCAATTCTATGTGGACATCAATGAAAGATATCTTACTCTGAAAATTCCAATGTCATTGAAGATTGTTTAAGAGGATTAAATGTTGTTAATTGAATTGACACAATAAATAGGGAAAGTGCCAAGTGAGGAATTATGTGAAATTTGGCATGTGTATGCTGTATTGATCCAATTTTAATTTAATTGTTGCTAATAAATTGAGTTTCTCATTGAGCAGTTTTGGTGATTAAAGAATGACTTTAATTTTTGCAAAGATTATATGGTATTGGTTAAAGATTAAATACCTTTAAGTTGTTTTCAAAAAAAAAAAAAAAATACCTTTAAGTTTTAGTGAATCAACCAGTTTATTTTATATGATTTGTTTTTTATAAGTAAATCAGAGAAGAAATTTCTCTATGGAACTTGAATGAACCAGTTTAAATACCTTTGATGGATTTGGTACTTTTTTTGGTGCTCAATTGTGCAGACTCAACAGGATGAATTGGAGGCAAAGTTTCTTGATGAGAGAGCAGCACTTGAAGCCAAGTATCAGATGCTTTATCAACCACTATATACAAAGGTTTGTAAGACTCTTTTACATATTATTATTATTATTATACATCTGCTGTTCCATTGGCTAGTAATCCTATGTCTCAAATTCATAATGAAGTGAAAAAATAAAACGTGCAGAGTTATGAAATAGTGAATGGTATAGTTGAAGTTGAAGTTGAGAAAGCTGAAGCAGTGTCTATGGACCACGAAGACGACCAAAACCGCAAAGAAAGGAGTTCCACATTTCTGGCTTATTGTTATGGAGTATAATGAAGTGTTAGCTGTAGAGGTTAGATGTTGCATGAAGGAGCTCTTGAATATCTGAAAGACATTAAGTGATCCAGAATTGATAATCCAAAGGGCTTCAAGCTTGGATTTTTCTGTTTTTATGTTTGGAATATTTTTCTGATTACTTTTTGTATTAATGAGTTACCATATGTTATTGTTTTTATGTTTGGAATTTTGAAAGTGTATTCAGAATTTTAAATTTCTTTTTGTTTATATTTAATTTGGTATGAGATTTGCTACCATTAAGAAGGTTTATTCACTTTTATCTCTGGAAACTGACATTTCTTGTTAAATGGTTATTTGGAGCAATTAAGAAATCAGGAAGTTTTTTTCCTCACTTCAATTAGCTGTAATATACACATGTTTTCTCAAAATTAATTCGTAATGAATTTTCCTTCAATAGCATTGTTAATCAGTATAGTTTTATTTAATTTTGTTTTTATGTTTTCTATCTCAAAACAATTGGGATGGTGCATATTACTGCTGCTATGAGTTGTACTCATTTGCACTGCTAACATTAGCTATTCTTATTTTCAGGATTCTGTAAGGGAATAGAAGTAGCAGAAAAGGGGATTGAGGCTGCGGAGAAAGGATTTATCAAGGGAATATAAGAGAGTGAAACGACGGTGAGACTTTCTGTCTTAGATTGTACTCTTCTTGGTTTAATCGATTCTTTTTTATATTGTTCATTTCTTTATAGTGGTTTACTTTGATTTCTGTCTATGGTTTTACTTTGTTGATGGTTCTTCATTCAGAAAGAAGGGCTTTGGAATCAGCAAGCCAAAATGGTCGTTCCCGCTTGGAAAAGACAGAGGACAGCTGGAGGAAGTTGGAGGTGAACGATGCTCGGCCTTCCAGGTTGGTGAAGCAGGCCTTTCTTTGATTCTAATTGTTATCCATATTTTATATATACTACTGATAATGTGATGAATTGCCATGTAGTTTAGTTCTTAATGTACTTTCTTGCTCTAGTAATTTGAGTTATTTCTCTGAAAGCATTTGATTATTAGCTCATTTACCTGTAAGTAATCTTATTGTTGCTGAATTGTAGTTTGCTCTTGGGCTTTATGGCTTACTACTCTATAACCCCATATCAAAAAATATGTAAGCCAACCACAATTGCATTACTATCATACTATGTCTAAATCTGTGTAATTCATAATGTATTTGGAAACTACTTTGTTTTTGCTTTAAAATCCATAATTTTATCTCCAAATTTTGAAAGCTTATAATACTCCACCTCTTTTTGGTTTATTGTATACTAAGAGTATATGTATGTTTGTGAATTGTGATTTCTTACTTTGATTGATCCCTTACAGAGCTAAGTGCTCAAATACCCCAAGTAGAAGCTTCCTTTGAGTTGGAGCAGAGAAATCAAGAATCATCAATGGAGGAGATAACGGAGGGAGTGAACGACATCAACATTAACGGAGGCAGCGACGG